AAAAAAAAAAAACTCAAAGAACATTGATAAAAGAAAATAGCTAGAGACAAGTTTTTTCTTTCATTGAATGGTTAAAAAAGTGTTAGAAGGTCAAGATTCTTACAGCATGATGCTTATTATTAGATAGTTTTTGAAATTGGTAGGCACTGATAAACGGAAGAGTGGTACATGATTCTCAAAAAGTGTTGAATAATTGTGGTTTGTCAACTCCTATGATGATAGCGACAGTGAGTTAGTGTTGTTGAAGTGCCCACAAAAATCTCATATCATTGGCCCTTTTGGTTACTTCGTCTTTTACGTGGCAGACAGTGTTAATTCTCTAAGCCTAATTAACTTCTATATTTAATTATTTCACTCTATAGTTTTTAAATATCCAGTTGAATCCAACAACACATTATTTGCTAAAGATACACTCTATATTTACTGATATGTCCTGATTTTCTTTTTCTCTTAATTGAGTAAAACGTTTGGTAGGAAATAAACCACTTATTTCAAGAAATTTTAATATGTAGAATAGTTAAAATTGCACTCATGGTTATTATATAGGCTTTTCAGTGTTCAGAGATAAATATGAATATAATTATCATTGGTTGAGTGGTTGGACTATGTATAATGTGTTGAATTGGTAAAAAGTATACATTATTAAGAAATACTTGAGTTTTTATTTGTTAATATAATTGATAAAATCATTAATTTGTCGGTTGATAATAAATATATTTTTTATATAGCTAGATGTGGGAAGGTACAGCCTTTAAGCAACTTAAATATTTTGTTATACTTAGGAGTTACTCTACTTGCTAATCTAATCAAGGTATAGGAAAAAATTTAAGAGAAAAATAAGACAAAAATGATAAAAAATATGTTGGGTTAGGCTTATCGATAAATTCGTTTTATCGATAATGGTTAAGATAAGTTGCAATTTATGGTTCTCCAATTTTTTTGTTAGGAAACTGTTTTCTTTGGATAGGAATTTTTTATTAGTTTATAATTTGTAATAATTTTTTTTATCGCTGTTACCATTATTATTATAGTTAAAAAAATAGGAGATAAATATTTAATTTTTGGGTGTTTTTTAATTCCATTCTATGTATTTACAATTTGTTATTCTGCTTAAGATTATAATTAAGGTTTTTTTAATATAGTATCTTATTTTTCTTTATTATTTAATTAATTATTTTGATTATTGTGTTGATTAAATTAAATTTAAAAATAATAACTCGAAGAGGTCTTCAAACTCCACATTTTTATATTTTCATTTCATTCAATAAATCCGGAGGCACAGACTATTAGTCGAATTAATAAAATGTTTACCAAATACACAATTTTTAATTCGAGTGTAAGCAAATAAATATTCACTCATATACAATCATCAAATCTTAAATCGACAAAAGTCTACAACTATATAATTTTTCAGTTTTTTAAGTATATGATGACAAAAATTTGACACCAATATTATATATTTAAGTCCTACATTAAGTAAATAAAAAATTATTTTATAAGAATTTAAATGATGATTTAAGTTTTATATTAAATAAAGATAAGAAAATATTTTGTAAGATAGAAGATTTTTGAAAGATTGTCAGTAATATAAAAATAATTGTTTTATGATGAAATCATATGAATATAATATAGTCAAATAATCAATTAATAACTATCTAACAATTTCTCTTGATCATTTACTCTTTTATAATTATTTTACTTCTTTTCATTCATTACTTAAATATTGATTTTAAATATTTTGGATTTTAATATGTTGTTTTGATATCTCGATTTTTTTATTAGTTTAATCGTGTCACGTTTTATCTTATTTTATTATTTACTTATTTTATCTTTTACGTGCTAACATTTTTTCATTCCTTACATGGGTCATGAGGACACATAGTTCATGAGCAATGAAGAACACAAGAGAATATATAAGTCGTTAGGTTGATTAAGAAAATAATTAAGAATCCACAAAAAGTATATACATATAATAACACCACCTATTAGATTATAAAGATATGAATATTTTTTTATTTTCATTATTTTTTATTTAAATAAATAGTAATAATTTTCGGAATAATATTTTTATAATAACATATTCATTGTGTATAACATTAATTTAATTTAAAATTGATGGCAGATAGTAATACCTTGAACTAAAAACTATAGAAAATAAAACTACATACTTTTTACCGAATATTGCAGAATTTTTTCACTTCTCTACTTTGTTTGAATTTGCTTCCAAATTTAAAAAAAAAATGTCGAGAAGTACTTCTCCAACAACATAATAGAGGTTATTATAATGTTCTTACGAAGAAAATCTCAAGACAAAAGGTTTTAAAGGGGAATTTTTGTAAGTAAATGTAAATGTATATAAAGTTAAATATTTTTGGTATATTTTTTAATAAGACTAATGTATTCTTACATTTTTAATGTGTATTAGGTGGCCATGCACTTCACAATCTTTTTCAAGTCAAAGATGCAGTTTATATTCCTGACATTTGTGGAGGTTTCAATTTGGAATGAAACAAAAATTGCTTCACATAATTCAGCAAATTTAAGAAAAAAAAAAGAATAAAAGAAAGTTTTTCTTACTTGGAAGTTTCCTAGTTTCTGTTTTGTGTATAAGTGTGATACTTACTGCTGTGGAAAAACCAAAGCATAATAAGTTCTACGATAACACATTTTACATTTATTTGATATATAATATACAGTTTAAATGCTCATAAAATAATAAAATTTTATATTTTAAAAAAATGATAGTATAAAATAAATATAAAAAATTTATATATATCAAAATATCAATTTTCTTTTGTTTAAGTTGTTCTATCAAATATCAAACACTAACAATAGTGTAGGATCTTATTCTATTTGTGTCACATTATTCATTTCAAATGGTTTGGCACCAAACATTGCCATTTAAAAATGTAAATCTCCATTGTCTTAAGGAGGAAAACATTCCAAAAATAAAATAAGTCATTTTTCAAGAATATGTTTCTTAGTAAAATTATTGGAGTTTTCTAAACTTCTTGTAGTTAGAAACACGTTATCGAGGACAATATTTTCTTCGTTTACCATGCATTTTATTTCCACGTTTGTTTTCTTCTTTTATTCTTCGTTTTGTACAAGGTCCAGATTCTCACACAGTGACAAGAAAAGCTTCATGCCAGTGACCATAAACACTCTGATTAGAATGATTAAAATGAATTTGAAATGCTTCAAAGATTTAAGTTGGTTCAACTTTTCTTAAGTTTGATTATTTGCTCCACATTTTTTATCAAAAGATATAATCTGAGTTACAAATACTATATAAAGTTAAAATGAAGTAAAATCGATGTACCCTAATATTTGTCATTCCACAACATAACGCAAAAAAATGCTCAAAAATTGAATAAAGTATAACTAATACCATATCACAACATTAACGGCTAATAAAAGTACAAATTATGGAGTTACAGAATAAAATTGGACTGAAATAGTCAACTAAAAAATTAAAGAAAATTGACGACACTACATTAGTTAATTAGTCTATAGAATTGTCATGTCATAGATTAAACATTTGCTGCTAAAGCAAACTTTCAGTAAATGATATTTTAATTTTCATGTATCTTATAACTAACAAATTTCGATAAAAAAAAAGTTTAAATATTTGTGTTGATTTTGTTATGGTGAAAAATATTCGTAATTGAAGTTTTATATGTTGATAATATTTTAATTTATATGTAATGTCTGAAATCACGTGAACGAAAACTAAGTTTGTGACCTAAGCATACATATTTGAGAGTTTAATGAATGTCACACCATACATGCATTTAACTGGTGTTAGATTTACCATTAAAACGTTGGTTCGACACTAAGGTGCTTCTCCAAAAAATTACTAGAAAGCCACAGAAATATCAAAGAATTTGAAGACTCTACAATTACATTACCACTCACATGACAAATTGAACATTTTTATAATTTAAAAAAAACATATACCCTCAGTAACTGAAGTAAAACCACAATCCTCTGTATGAACAAGCTAGTTAAGGTTTTGGGCTTAACAAACCAAAAATGATGTAAGAAGCCCTGCAAATACTACAGCTCATAACCTACCACAGAAAGGAGCGAGCGACTAGCGATGTTGGACATGTGAAAATAGAATTACAAAAGGTAGATCACAGAATCTTCGATGATTCACAAACATGATAGCATCAAATTATCACTCAAGTCCGGAAAGAAGGAATGTATCCCATTAAAAAATAATAAGGATGTATATAAGGCTACAAGTTGCATAAAAATGAAAACAAAAATTTTACCGAACAAACTACCGACCTGCCAGAAGTATACAAAAATGGTTGTCATTCACCAGATTAGTAGATGACTACACCGCTATTAAACTTTAGTTTTCAGTTTTCTTTTTTTTTCCTTTCTTCTTGCTTGGCATTTCAGGAGATTCTTCTTGCTCTGCATGCTTTTTCCGTTTTTTCTTCTTCTCTCCTGCATTCATGTCTCCATTCCCATTCTGCAACTCAGTACTCTCACTAGCCTCCTTCCTTTTCTTCTTCTTTTCTTTCTTCTCAACTTCGGGTTCTGGCTCCTCAGCAACATCAGCTTGAACAGTTGGTTCCTCTTCATTTTTCCCCTTCTTTTTCTTCTTTTCCTTCTTTTCTTTCTTTTTATCAGCAACAGAAGCCTCTTGTTTATCCTCATCCATGGCGGAATCGACAATTTGTCCGATAATTGAATCAGCCGAAGCATTATATGTCTACAAGGAAAACGACAATCAGCATAGACAGAAAATAAAATTGAAGTTATTAACAACACCATAAGGAACAAGAAACAAACCTTAGCCGGGGTGATCAGTCCTCCCGCTCCTTTCTTTCTGTCCTTGTCATATGCTTCTATCTTAGGTTTTCCCTTAGCAGAACCGGCAAAACGACCCAACTCTTTGCCTTCAAGGTTCCTCAATCGCGCCTCAAGCTGCAGAAAAAACTTGTTAAAAGTAGGAAAAAAAATATATATATATATATATAAACAAAACACATGTACCTTGGCTCTGTTCTCCAATCCCATGGTGTTGTCTTGGCCATCTCCAAGTGCGTCACACCTAATAGCCAATGCTGTCTTTGCAGCAAGTGACCGAGAAATTTTCCCCTTGAACTTTGCAGCTGCCTGACCAATCAAAGATGCATGGTATATAAGACCATACTTGGGAGTAGCATGCTTAGTTTTCAGTGCCCTGAAGAGAGCCTTCTCAGCACCAAGAATCTGCACAGTGCTACCAGGCTGCTTTGCAAGATTTAATAAGCTACCACCATGGGCAATGAGACGAGCACCAACAAGCTCCCCAACCATCGCAGTCAAATTGGGTGCAATGGTGTTCATCCTGCTCTTTAGATAATCATATAGTTGTGCCCTGTATTCCGAAAGAGCCAAAACCTGGTCACAGAGTTCCCTAATATTTGCCAAATCAAGATCACCGATTTCAGTTCCCATAGATATTACAGCTGCCTCCTTAAGTTCTGCCTCCACTTCCTCAGACAAAATCTGGGACAAAACGTATGAAAA